TCGCGGTGGAAAGGCTCCAGACCCGCTTAAAGGAGGCCGAGGTGACGGTGAAGGAGGCCTTGAGTGCCAATGCTAAGGTCACGGAGTCGGCTGAAGAGTTGAAGAGGGCAGCCAACGCCCATAGGAAGGAGGCCGATGACTTAAAGTTGGCGGTGCAAAAGATGAAGGCCGAGGCCATTACTACTGCAGCTGAGATTGCTCGGCTGAACGAGGCCCATGCCAAGCTCACGGCTGAAGCCACCGATAAGATCCTCGATCAACATGATGTTGGCTTCCAGCAAGCGGTCCGACAAGCCCGTTACTTCTATGAGATTCCGGCTGACTTTAATTTTGATGTCAGTCAGGATTTTTATGGTGGTAAGTACATAAGTTACGCAGAGTTCCAACAAGGGGTCGAGCCTGACGAAGAGGCTCCTCGCCGAGGCAAGTCCTGGTGCCGCCGGCTACAGAGGAGAATGACCCCATCATTGATGTGGTTGGCGATGGGAACCCGGAGGACTCGGCTGCGGTGTAGGGGGTCGGCTCTGGTGACAGTAAGCTAGGGTTAGGATTTTTTGTTGATTTTTTGTAACCGGGCCGTTAGTGCCTTTTGTAATTTGGCCATTGGCGCCGGTGGACAAATGATTCCTTGTAAGTAGTCGTTCTGGTCGGCCATACTTTTTTACTTAATGATATTTTGCTTTCCAATTTTTTGCATGTTCATAAGCGCCTAGTAATGTAGTCATAAACCGAGTTGTATGTTCAGCCGAGGGGGTGAATTTTCAGGAATTAGTTGATTGATGCATGGTGTGTTCGTTTACACAAGAGTCGAGCAGCTACTTGACACATGAAGTGTGGGGTATGCGAGAGCGTTCAGTTAGAGAGTGGTCGGTTTATTCGTGCTTGGTTTGAGAGTGATCGCGAATCGTAAACATGCGTGGTTGGTTCGAGAGTGATCGACCTGATCATGCTCGGCCTTGGGATGTCGGGTTATGCGACGTGTGGAGTGTTGGGAGTACGAGAGAGTTCTTGGTTGGAGAGTTCTCATCCTGAGTGTGTTCAGTTTACGTGTTGCCTTAGAGGGGATGCGTGCGTGCATAGTTTACTTAGTGGTCGGCCGAAGATTGCTCGGCGTCTTTGTTTTCGTGTTTAGTGCTCGGCCTAGGTACATCCTTAGCCGAGGAGGGTACTCGGGAGGGAAACCTGTTGGGCGCGAGTGTACTTTGAGTGATTGAGTGAGGATTTTCTCGGCATCGTTGCTTTCATGTGTTTGGCCTAAGTACATCCTTAGCTGAGGAGGGTACTCGGGAGGGAAACCTGTTGGGCGCGAGTGCACTTTACGTGATCGGGTGAGGATTTGCTCGGCATCGTTGCTTTCATGTGTTTGGCCTAGGTACATCCTTAGCCGAGGAGAGTACTCGGGAAGGAAACTTGTTGGGTGCGAGTGCACTTTAAGTGGTCGGCTAAGGATTTGCTCGGCGTCGTTGCTTTTGTGTTTAGTGCTCGGCCTAGGTACATCCTTAGCCGAGGAGGGTACTCGGGAGGGAAACCTGTTGGGCGCGAGTGCACATAAAGTGGTCGGCCGAGGATTTGCTCGGCGTTGTTGCTTTTGTGTTTAGTGCTCGGCTTAGGTATATCCTTAGCTGAGGAGGGTACTTAGGAGGGAAACCTGTTGGGCGCGAGTGCACTTTGAGTAGTCGGCCAAGGATTGCTCGACGTCAGCGTATTATGCGAGTGGACCTGTATGAGTGTGACCTAGACATACAATAAGACAGAGAAGGGTACGATGAAATTTGAAACTTTTATTAATGAAGTGCCTCATTAAAAACCTCGCCGACCCAAAACCCTCCTTAGGGAAAAAAGAGTCGGTCAAGGAAAAGAGTGCACTAATACATCAGCTGTAATACACTTTTAAATGTGAGGAGTTCCAAGTTCTCGGAATTGGCTCCCCTGATAGGTGCTCCATCTTGTATGCCCCATTGTTTAGGTTGTGTCGTACTCGAAAAGGTCCGTCCTAATTTGGGGCAAGTTTTCCTTGTCTCGGATCTTTTCTCGCCTCGCCTGTGGCTCTCCAAACAAGATCTCCCTCTCGAAATTCTCTAGGCTTCACCTTGCTGTCGAATCTTCTCTTGTAGCGTTGCTTGGTGGCCTCGGCCACGACTTGTGCTCGGTCGCGAATGTCTTCCACGACGTCCAGGTTTACTCGGAGCTCAGCTTCATTATTTGACTCGTCGAAGTGGGCTCGGCGGAATGAAGGCTCCCCGATTTCCACTGGAATCATCGCGTCAGACCCGTAGACTAATCGGAAGGGGGTCTCTTGTGTGGTTGATTGGGGCGTGCATCGGTAGACCCAAAGTACCTCGGGCAAATGCTCGGCCCATGCTCCCTTTGCTTCTCCTAGCCGCTTCTTCAACTTTGTCAGGATGACCTTGTTGGTCGATTTGGCTTGGCCGTTCGTTTGAGGGTGCTCGACCGATGTGACCTTGTGTTGTATTCCTAGGCCAGCTAGGAATTCGTTGAGTTTTCGATCGGTGAATTGAAGGCCATTGTCGGTTGCCAGGGTATGTGGGACTCCAAACCGGGTGATGATATTCCTCGACAAGAATTTTTGGACTTGATGAGCCAAGATGCATGCCAAGGGCTCGACTTCAATCCACTTAGTGAAAAGGTCCACGACGATGATGAGGAACTTGCATTGTCCCTTGGCAACCAGGAAAGGTCCAAGGATGTCGGCCCCCTATGTGGCGAATGGCCATGCAGGAGGAATACAATGTAGCTGCTCGGCTGGTTGGTGGATTAAGTTGCCGTGTTTCTGACATGGTTGGCACTTCTTAACAAACGTTGCACAATCGGTGTGTATGGTCGACCAATAGTATCCGGCTCGCAAGAGTTTGGAGATGGTTGTTCTCGCTCCAGAGTTCATTCCACAAATACCCTCGTGAACTTCTCGTATCACGTAATCAGCCTCGATAGGGTCTAGGCACTTGAGTAGAGGAGTGGAGAAGCCACATTTGTATAACAGACCGGCGACGATGACATATCTGATGGCCTGTGTTCTCAACCGTTTGGCCTCGGTTGGGTCGGTCGGAGCGACGCCATTGGTGATGAATGCCTTGATTTCGTCTCGCTAGTCGGGCGGGTCACTCTGGCTGGGTTGGTCGGTATCCACATTTGCTATCACTTCTGCTTTGACACTAGGGTGGTCGATTTCTTGCTGAATGATGGTTCTTAGTTGGCCTGACTTCTTGGTCGCGGCCAATCTAGCCAACTGATCGGCTCGGGTATTGTCCTCGCGCGGGATGTGCTCGACCAACACCTTCTAAAAGTTTGCCTTCAACTTTTGATAGGCATGGTAGTACTTCATCATGTTGTGATCTTTCACTTGGAAGCTACCGCCCACTTTCTCGGCCATAACCTTGGAATCGGTCAAGCATTTGATTCTCGAAGCACCCATGTCTTCGGCTAATCTGAGTCCGGCCAATAGGGCTTCATACTCGGCTTGGTTATTCGAAGCCTTGAACCGAAAGCGGAGGGATTGTTCCAAAACTATCCCTTTGGGTCCCTCTAGAATTACTCATGCTCCGCTTCCCTGGAAATTTGAGGAACCGTCCACGTGGAGGGTCCACCAATGCTCTTCGAACTGGCCGTGAGGATGGAGCTCATTCACGAAGTCGGCCAGATTTTGAGCCTTGATCGGTCCCCTCGGCTTGAAGGTGATGTCAAATTGCGAGAGTTCCACCGACCAGGCCATCATTCTTCCGGCGAGTTCAGGCTTGCCTAAGACCTTTGAGATCGGGGCAGTTGGTGTGGACCACTATCTGGTGGCTCTGGAAATAATGTCGTAGGCGTCGGGAAGTGTGCACTAAGCCAAGCGCCACCTTTTCTATCAACTGGTATCGGGTTTCAGAATCTTGTAGGAGTCGGCTGACAAAGTATATGGGAGCTTGGGTGCCTTCTTTTTCTTGCACCAAAACCGAGCTGATCGCCTCCTCAGAAATAACCAAATACACGAGTAGTGGGATCAGAGGATCAGGTCTCGTGAGGATCGGCGATGTCGCCAAGGTTGTTTTCAATGTTGCAAAGGCTTCTTCGCATGGCTCGTTCCACAAGAAGGCCGAAGCCTTACATAAAAGCTTCGTCATCGGGCTAATCTTTTCGGCCAAACGAGGGAGGAATCGGGATAAAGCAACTAATCTTCCTGATAGTCGTTGCAATTCCTTGAGGTTGGTCGGGCTTTGCATGTCTAACAAGGCCCGGAACTTGTCTCGGTTTGCTTCAATCCCTCTTGCCGATAGCATAAACCCTAGAAATTTGCCTCCCTTGACCCCGAAAGTGCACTTCTCGGGGTTGAGCCTCATGTTGTGCTTGCGCAACTCACCGAAGATTTCGGCCAGGTTGGCTATGAGATCGGCCAGGGAATTGGACTTGACCACCATGTCGTCCACATAAATTTCGATGTTTCGGCCGATTTGGCCCTGGAACACTTTGTGCATTAACCTCTGGTAGGTCGCCCCGACGTTCTTTAGTCCAAATGGCATGACTTTGTAACAAAAGTTGGCGATCTTGGTGATAAACGCCGTCTTCTCTTCATCGGCCGGGTGCATCTTTATCTGGTTGTATCTGGAATATGCATCGAGGAAGCTGAATACAGAGTGCCCGGATGCCCCGTCGACGAGTCAGTCAAAGCAGGGGAGAGGATAGGCGTCTTTAGGGCAAACTTTGTTGAGGTCGGTGTAATCAGTGCATATTCTCCATTTCCCGTTCTCCTTTTTTACTAACACTACATTGGCCAGCCAGGTGGTGTAGGTGACCTCTCTTATAAAATTGGCTTGTAGTAATTTTTTCACCTCGGCATTTGCAGCCATCCTCTTCTCATCACCCATTTTTCTTTTCATTTGGGCGACTAGTCGGGCGTCTCGGCATACAGCAAGCCGATGGCAAAGGAATTGTGGATCTATTCCGGGCATGTCTGACGCTGTCCACGCAAATAGGTCTTTATTGTCTCGGACTTCTCGTTTCACCTAGCTCGAATCGACTTCACTCAGTTGGGATCCCATATGCGTGACCTGCTTGGGTGCTCGGCCAAGTTGAAAAGGAATGAGATCCTTAGCAGGCTCGATTCGCTCTTCTTCACCTAACTGAGGATCGAGGTTGATGCCCTCGGTCATCTCCTGTCTGACCACATTCACTCCTCTCGTTGTCGTCGGGGAGTCGGCAATAGGTCGCACCTTCAAGCTGGAGAGGTAACACTCTCTTGCTGTCTTCTGATCGGCGTGAGCGGTTATCATCTGCCCATCTTTCAACGGAAACTTCATGCATATGTGGGGTGTCGAGACAATGGCCCCTAATGCATTAACAGAAGGCCGGCCTAGCAAGATGTTGTACGATGTACTTGCATGCACCACGATGTAGCAAATTTTAATCTCGCGGGAAGATTTTTGGTCGAAACCAAATCGAGTGTATAAGTCGATGCACCCTCTCGTCATCACTCTTTCACCTGAGAATCCTACCAGCGGTTCGTGGTATGGTTCTAGGCTCTCCTCTGGGATCCCAAGTTGCACGAAAGTGTTCCAATACAAGATGTCAGCGGAGCTCCCATGGTCGATCAAGGTCTTCTTTACAATGCAATTGTTCATTTCAACAGAAATTACCATGGGGTCGTCCTGAATGGGATCGACTCCTCGGAAGTCTCGGTCGGAAAAGGTTATTGGTGGCATCTTCGGTGTCCTCGGCTGATTCACACTATTTACTGATTGCACTGCTCGGAGGTGTCTCTTCTGTGCGGAAGATGTGGAACCTCCCTCGGCGAAGCCTCCGACTATCGTGTTTATTATCTTCCTCGGTCGGTCATTGTCTTCTCGAGAATGCCGTGAATGGTCTCTCCTTTCAGCTGATCGGGATCGGCGACGTCGGTCTCTCGCCGGTGGTGCTTCCCGAGAGTGATGGTCTCTCCCCCTTGACTGGTGCTTTTGAGGGGTGACGAAATTCGTGAGGTGACCTTGTTTGATAAGGTCCTCAAGCTTGTCTTTTAGTGCCGAACATTCTTCTGTCGAGTGCCCCCTGTTTCGGTGGAATCGGCACGTCTTGGCTTTTTCGGCTCTAGGGGGTGTGTTTGCCCTTTTCGGCATCACGAGGATCTCTAATGCAAGGGCCTCTCCATTACCTTAGCCCTACTCGCGTTGAGGGGAGTATACGCTACGTAGTGTGGTCCTCTTAGGGGGTGAGTGTTCGAGGGCTCGGCATTCGTCTTTCTCATTGGCTCTCGGCCAGATTCTTTTCGGCTATAACCCTCCTCGGCCCTAGCCTGATTTCGGGTCTCCGCCAGCTCTTCCATTTGCATATACTTCTCGGCTCGGCACCGGAGATCGTTCATGTCACCGGGCGGTTTCTTGCACAAGCTATTCACAAATGGTCCTGGCTTGAGGGCAGTGCTCAACCGGTCCAACGCCACGGCGGGGTTAAGATTGCCGATCTCCATGGCAATCTTGTTGAATCGGTCCATGAAGCTTCTCAGACTTTCCTTCTTTTCTTGACGGACCCCGCTAAGGCTAACGAAGTCGTCTTGTACGGCTTGCTCGTCGCGAATTGGAGAGTGAATTGAGATGACAACTCGTTGAACGAGTCAATGGAAGAGCTCGGCAATCTCGTGAACCAACTCAGGGCCCTTCCTTTCAACGACGTGGGGAATATCCGGCACAAGGCGGAGTCGTCCTGAGTAGAGAGGGTTGCTTGTGTTAGGAAGACTTTCAAGTGCTCTTCGGGGTTAGTAGACCCATCGTACTTCTCGATTGGGAGGCTCTTCCAATGGTCTAACAGGGTTGCCTCCATTATCCTTCGGGAAAACGGATGCCTTAGGGAGTGAGTGGTGGTGTCGTCCTTGTTGCCTATCAAAGAGGTAACTGGTGTTCTGGTCACATGGTCAGTTGGGGCGTGATATGCCGACTCCTCTTGGAGAGTGGGAGTTGACGGCACACAGGTCTGGTTAAGACTTCGGAGCTCGGCGTTTTGTCGGCGCAATTCGGCCAACTCCCTGGCATCAGCTTCTCTCTGTCTTCGGATAGTAGCCATTTCCTCGCGCAATGGGCGCAAGTCATTGTGAAGATCAGGCTGGGCTCGGTCGGTGGTCAGCCGGACCTCTTGTATCATAAGCTCTGGTTGTGATTGAGGCATTCCGTACGGGTATCGCTTTTGTCCGGCCATGACGGGGTTGTGCTCGGGGTTAGGGATCAGTTGAGTCGATGTTGACGGTCCTTTGCGTGTCACTACCATGTCTCGGTCTCAGTCGTAGAATTCAAAGGGGCTGAAAAAGTCTCTTCGGCCCCACGGTGGGCGCCAAATGTTCCTGTGTTAGGATACACACTTCAATTATCCTTGTTGTAGTGGGTCTGGTCTTGGGTCTAGGTCTTCTCGTCCTTCTCCGAGTAGTCCGAAGTGAGGGGAGGGTGCCTGCAAAGACACTCCAATGCTCAAGTAAGTGCTCGGCGTAATAAATGCGGTAGTTGAAAGATTAGTTACATACCTCATTGGGGTCCTATTTATAGTGATTCTTATTGGGCCGTGATTAAGGATTGGGCCCCGAAAAATTAGGGGGTTAATCCGGTGCATTACGTAAATTAACCTCTCCATGATCATCCTGGCGTAAGTACGGATTTGGGTCGAGCACACCGACATGTTATGTTCATATTAAGAGTGGTCGGTGGACTCGGTGTACTAGGTCTGATCATTCGCGGACTCGGGGAATCGACCTAGTCGGCCGTGGGCTCGGGTATTCGGTCTGGTCGGCCATCATACGGTATACTTTTAAATCAGGATTTTAATGGATTCTGTGGGATTTTGTAGAATTTTCGTGAATTTTTGACATTTGATAAGATTTCAAAAAAAAATTCATACATTCAAATTTAAAAAGAGTCAAAGACAAAAATAATAAAAAATAATAATGTCTAGATAAATAATAATAATAATAATTCTCCATAATATCTTATCCTCTTAAATAGCATTCACCCACATATCCACAACTATACTATAGTCCTCCAAGCATTAACGTCTTTTCGCTTTTGCTCTTGGATTTGAATAATAGGTTCAAAAGTATGATCTTCATTAACCGGTAACATTGAAGATGAAGGTTCATCCACCGCTTCAATTGGAAATTCATCAGAATGACATTCTTTACGTAGAAAGTTACGTAGTGCTGCACATACTAACACAAGTTCTACTTGTGTCTTAAATAAAAATGGAGGTGCTGTCTTAAAAATTGTGAACCTTGATTTAAAAATACCAAATATTTTCTCGATCACATTCCTTAAAGACGCATAACGAAGATTGAACAATTCTTTCTCATTTTCAGGGTCATTACCCTGACCTGCAAAATCTTGTAGATGATATCTAATACCTCGAAATGGAGCTAAAAATTGGCTTCGATTAGGAAATCCACAATCCACCAAAAAAATATTTACCTAATTACATATGCAATATATATAATATTAGTATAATAATAATAATTATTATAATTATTATTATTATTTAAAGAATAAGCATTTAGATATAAATATATATATATATATATATATTATTTTAGTTATATATTATATGATAATTTTTAACGATATTTATAAATATAAATTATTCTAACAAATATTTTAACAATATTTCCTCTTTTAAAAAATAAACTAATGAAGACATAAATCCTAAACCATAAAAAATTAGATACTGCAATGTCTTATGTTAATTTTCTTTTTTTAAAATATAAAAAAGTCCTAATTTCAAAATATAAAAATAAAAAGAAAAATTTATAGTAAAAAAAATAAAATAATTGTTAAGTCATAAAAAGATGGGGATAAGAGTAACAAACTTAAGGGAAGGAGAGAAATCACATTTTTTATGCTGAGAGGGTTCTTCCCCCAACTACGATCCATTTTCATCTCATTCTACTCACAGAAACCCTAACAAATTCATCTTATATATATATATTGGAGAAATTATGATATTAATTTCATCTTTCACCTTTTTCTTTTCTTGACGTGTGTTATAAAAAAAATTACCACTTAAAAGTTAAAATTTCAAGCATTTTTTTGTGTTATATAAAGGAACAAATTCAACTACATAGAATAAAATAAAGCAAGTCAATTAAAGAGAACGAACAGAAAAATAGAGCAAATCAATGACACTATCATTTACATATCAGAGTTTTACAAAATAGGAGAATGAGATGAGAACAATACTACAATATTATATATGAGCAATGAACAATAGTGCAGTATTATTAGCAGAGAAAAAATGGAGAAGACAGGAGCATAGAAAAAAAAAATGAAAAACTCACTTGAAAATTCTTGAAAAGTCACTTCAAACAATCCTTCAAAATCTGATGGGTTTGGATGAGATTGTTTTATGAATTTGGTATTTATAGATAACACTAGAAAATCCCTCAAAATCCCTCTCACACAACAATCCTTTAAAATCCTTATATTTTTGAATACCAATGGATTGTTTTTAAGTTGTAAAAAATCTCAAATGAATACCGATAGATTTTAATGGCCTCTATAAAAAATCTTGAAAATCCAGATTGAATATCACTGGATTGTTTTTAAGTGACATAAAATCCTAATTAGATACCAATAAGTTTTTTTACTCAAAAAAGTCTTTTAAAATCCTACGAAATTTTAAACTAATACATCCCCGAGATATGTATGGGAATGTCACATTTCCAAATTTACTTTCTTTTTTTTAAATAAATTTTCAAAATTTAATAAGGACAAACTATGTAAACCAAATAACTTTTACTTCTCTTTTTTTTTTTTTTTTTAACCAAATCATCCTTATCTTTTGTCTTCCTCTTTTTTTGGTAAGAAGAATCACTTATACATATTTTAGGAGAATGGATAAGCCCTTAATTGTCATCGAGAATTTAACATTTGTGAATGACACGCAAGAAGTGTCATAATGTTTTGGATAAGAAAGTGGTACTAAGATTGCGCTAATTGAGTTTCATTAAGAACGGATCATGAACCAGGGGTTTTGGATAAGAGGAGAATGCATCATGCACATATCTAAAACGCATTATGGTGCATTAGTTGATTATTATTTAAATACAAGATAACTTTGTATGCATGGGACCACTTAGCAATAGAAACAAATGCAATGCCAAGCATGAAGATAACAAAGACAAATGAGATATTTTATTCATAAAAGCCTAAAATTAATGATAATTATATGGGTGATTAATTATATACTAGTGGATAAGCACACTCAAGATGGCAAAAAGAAAGGTCAACATTGTAGGCGAAGTTGTTGAGGCATGACGCTTCTCTCTTGTACTCGTAGCCACATGAATCTTCTATTTAGATTAAAGATGAATCAAGAAGAAAAAGTAAGAGAAAAAGAAATAAAAATAAAAATGAATTATTTTAAGGGTTCGGATCATTTTACTTTGAGGCCTTTGATACATTTACTTTCTTATGAATATGAAATTTGGAATGATGATTTTCGATTTTTTATTTACCCTTTAAAAATAACACCTTTTTTTTTATAAAGGAATTATGGTTTCTCATAAATAGTTTATGTTAGGTTTTCTACGGAATTGTTCTAATTGGTTGCAAAACTATAACCTTTTCAAGTTAAAATTAAGAAGATTTTTATTATAAACAAATATCATATTGTCTTAATTTACTTTTTTAATATAATAAAAACATTTAATCTTAAAGTATTTTATTTTGTTTGACGTTTAAGATTTTAATACACAACTTAAGAAATATAATTAATATATGTTTTATAAAAAAATGATATTACTTTTTAATATACTCTTAAACTTTTTAGATTATAACCAATAAAAAAAACATTGAAGTAAAACGCACGTTAATAATGATTAAAGATATAATAGAGAAACAATATTTAATATTACATTGATATTATAAAATGATAATATCAAATTAAAAAAAATTAGAATTATTCTCTAAATAGAATAGATAAAAAAAATTAATATTTATAAAGAAATATGAACAACACAACCATCTCTTATTATTGGTTATAATTTATTAAAAATCAAAAGAGAAAATTATTAATGGATAAATTTTTTTTTATTTTTCAATAAATTTCAATCAATTAAGAAAATGAAAATATGTATTAAATTATGTGT